AGTAGGTGGATTGCCCACTGCAGGGGATTCACAAACAGGCACCTGGGGACTCCCGCAGGCTTTCCTCTTCCACTCCACTGTGTCAGGCCTCTCTGCATCTCCCATCGCCTGTCTGCCTGGAGACTGCACTCTCTCTGTGGGGGAGGAGCCAGGCATGGACAGCTCTCAACCTGCTTTAGTTCATTGCACCTTTACTTCTCCAGGACAGCTTTGTCGCTTGCGAAAGAAACAAGAAAAAGTGCTTCACAACAGAGAGGACACAGATTTAACCTTCAGGGCAATTTTGCATAACACTACACTGCATCGTCTTACGTTGATGAATTTTAGAAATATACGTCTTGTCTATTTAGCAATTTTTATCCACCAAATTCACAGAATATACTTCACAATGGAATTAATGAAAATACAAAATTTAGTTATTTCACCAATAAAAACAGATATTCAGCATTTTGTAATGAAAATGCTTGTGATGTATTTTATGGTGTTGAATTCCAAACTCGCATAATTTTAACCCTTTCTATATTAATATAAGTATAAGAATTGCAGTACGGCTGGATTCTCAGATGGATTACGGCAACAAAGAAATTAATTTCTGTGAAGAATGCTGCAAAGTGGCAGAGAATCCCCACACAATATCCCACACAAGTTGTGCGTGGGATTTTGTTTAAGGGTCTTCTTCAGATTTCACCTGCTAAGGGAGCAACTCACCATGGTTAGATTAACAATTGGGGTCTGTGATTACAGTTTTCTAAACAGACAGATTAAATTAGTGAGAGTGACAGTTAATTTTGAACAGCGCTAAAGTTAGTGTGTGAGCAAATGCTGTGCTTGGAAAAAAAGAATTACATGTTAAAGAAGTCTCTGATCTTTTTCCCTTTTTTCTCCCAAACCTCCTGCCAGGTTTCAATCAAACCTGAGAGACCCATTGCCCCACATATTTGTGTCAGAGGCTTTAGATAAACAGTGGAGGAAAGAGCACTGGAAATGTTCAGGGAAGGGGAAGTACAGTAGTACAACACCTTGTTACATGGAAAAAAATAACTTTGTCTTTGCGGACATTGCGTGATCAATCCAGGCTTGAAGGTTGATTTTCGTGCTGCTCTGCACATTGACAAGGTGAATGGTAACTCAGTAAGCAGTATCTGGATTTAGAGTTTTGTGTAGTTTAGCTGCTCTGCACAGATCACTGGGCTATGGTGTATCCCTGGTTCTCCTCTCCTACCACACAAAGAGGAAGTTCAGGCCTTATTTATTAAGCATTTATCTCAACATGAATAATATACTTTGGCTTCTTCTCTATGAATAATCTTGAGTTTCTACAATACCACACAGGAGGTTAATTTCTGTATTCACTGTCTTGCCAGGTCTTTGGTACACCACATAGTCAAGTGCTTTTTGATGTGGGTAAGGCTTTCTTTTTTAAATTGGCAGACAGGTATTTTTTATGAAGTATTGCTCAGAAACCGTGTTACTTTCTGTTATCTTCTGTGCTATTGTATCAATGTTGAAAAATACACTTTACAAAAATAAATGTATATTGTTGTTTTTACTATCTAACAGTTTAGTGTAATTCAGTGAAAGCCCTGTCTCTGGTACACTGCTAAATGGTTTCTTATGAGTTAGGGGTTTGAGAATATTTCCTAACAGAATGCAGTACATCTGGTGAAGGCTCTGGAAGGAACTTTTTCTGTGTGCTTTTCTGTATGTTTACATTGAAACCTCACAAGGGTCTTCCATGTGAAGCAACAGAAGGAATGTCTCTGCTTTGGTGAGCAGAGTAACTTTTTCCATGTGATTAGAGAGGAGTGTAGAATAAATTTAGTTATCCATCTTTTTCTGACATGGAACATGATTAAAAAAAACTTCCTGTTGAGGGAATGAGTTCATATTTGTACTGTACTCCCCTTAAACAAAGAAAGGGTGATGAAAAGCAGCCATAAAACACAGAGATATTTTACTTGTTCCCTCAGAGCTCTGTTTGTGTTGGTTGCTTTCACTAAAAAGCTGTATTTTCTCCAGCAGGCCCTTTGGAACTCAAATTGTTTTTCTCCCAGCAGATTTATTCCTTTCCATGACAACTGACTTTTAACTATATGAAAAGGTCTCGGTTTATTCCCCTTTTAAGGTAGTGATGTATTGCAGGGGGATTAGTGGAGCACTGGTGTTTCTTACAGCCAGCCTTTGCCATTGTAATTTACACTTTATTGTGTTGACAGAATAAAAGAAACTAAAGAGGAGGTTTTTCTATAGGTCATACAGGCTACACTTTGTAGAATACTTTGTAATAAGGTTAGTAAATAGAAGCAGTTATGTACTCACTTTTGCTTGTGCAATCATTAAAAACTAACCCTGTCTTTAGATTGTCTTCTTTTAGTCCTCTAACTTTACAGCTCCTGGAAAATTCCCTCGGATTTTGGACATTTTGCAGTGTGAATCCTCACAATTTATGTCACAATTTATGACCTTTCTTGTACATATGCTACATAAAGCATATCATAAAGTACAGAGGAAAAAAAAGTAATGAACAGGTATTAATATCTTCGTTGCCAATTATTTCCATATAATTAGATGCAGTTTGGAATGTTTTATAAGCAGATTGGTTTACCATGATAACAATAAATTGCATTTTAAAAAACTGATGTTCACATTTAAAATATTCCAGATTTCTCCCCTATAAAGGCAGGGGCTAAAGGCTTCTGTACAGCTTATGTTGTTTTTCAAAGATTGTACAGCCTACAGACAAGGAAGTGATTGCTCCTTTAGACTGGTACTCTTTAAGGGTGAGAAATCAAAGGCACTTTGTCTAGCTGGAACACTGTATATAGGATAGTGTGAGAATGTGTTAACACCTGAGGCAGAAATTGTAAGTGTTATAGGGAGGCTTGCAAATTGAACAATACATTCTGTGTAAACTTTTAATGAACAGATTTCTTTTTAAGTTATTGAACTGGTAACTAGAAATGAACACATGGCATTTTGTGCAATCATGTAATGAATGGATTGCATTTTCTTTTTTTTTGGTGTTAAGAGAAAAATGTGCTGTCTTGGATTGTCACTTGAGCCTTTATTTTCTTGATCTTTCTGTAGAACATGTGTTGCTCAGAAATATGAAGTTATTGGTTTTAATTTATATAGCGCCTTTTATGACACATAATCTGTTACAGTCATATACTGTAGATGTTTAGAAGCATTGGACTTCACACACTATGGCATTCATTACCTAATTAATCAATTGACAGGAATATGTAGTTAGGAATCTTCAGACCTATGTGTTTGTCTTAATTTGTCACTGTGTCCACAGCACTCTTCTATGTGAAATGCTGGAGGGTGCAATATAAATGTGACATTTGTTGAGTGATGAGAGTGTTGTATAGTCACATAGTGCTTCCTCAGACTAGAAGACTTGTGCATGAAGCTCTTGGTGTTCAGTTTCAGTAGTCTCTTTCGTCCTGTTAAACACTTTGGGCAATTTGTGCCTGGAGGATGTTTATGGGATGCAGTGTTGATTGAATTATTGGCTTACAGATTGATGGGCCTTATTCAGCAGCGTGAGAAAGCATATTTAATCTGGCAGCCTGTTAAGTGGAGGGTGAGAAATAGATTTGATGGAATGGGGTGGGCTTTTTCATGTGGATGTGGTCGAGGTGCACCTGAGAGAGACAAGAGCGGGGAGAGACTGTCTTGAAGACAGAACTATCACAGGGCATTGCTGGTGACACAGACCTCAGGGTCCTGTCTGTTCTACTTAGCAATATGGTACATTCTATCTGAACATCACTTACAAGACGCGACAGGTGATTTCTTATGGTATGCACTTTGTGAAATATACAGAGCATTGCATCAGTAAACAGACTCATGCATTTGAACAGAATATGCTTGTCCTGCAATTACACATAGCACAAGCAAAGAATGTGAAATGCTGTACATGCTCTGTGGTTCCCCCCATTTTTATTATGCAGCGTCCTTGCATATTGAGCAGACAAGATCCTGTTCAACTGGTTTGTGGTATCACTATCCAGAGCGCCGAATAATTTGAGCTCACTGGAGTACATGTCCATGATTTGGCCAGCCAATGGCAGATCGATGACTTATTGACGTTCTATAGGTCTTTGCGTTGCAAGGGTAATAAAGTACAGGTGCGATCCAAAGGGAAAGAGTTTTATTACATAATCTGGCCATTTACCTGATGTGGATCCTGGTGAATTTGTGTAGGATATTCTCAACATATTAATGTGAAACCATTCCGATTAGTCCACTTCCTATTTTCCCCTTAAAGTAAGTAGATTCTGCACAGCAGTATGCTTCAGTCCCACAGAAAGGATTTGTGGCTTCCAGAACATGTATAACTGACAGTTAAGTTAACCCACTTACAGTATTACTACCAAATTACCTTTCCAGAATAAACTGATATTCTTTCAAATTTGGGTATTTCAGAAATTTCTCTCTTTTTCTGGCTTTATACAGAAAACAATATATTGGTGTTATTTTTGAGTAGAAGATGGAATTGCAATACAATCTTAATATTATGAGTTACCATTTTGCACTTTCAACTGTTTCTGATAATGGGATTCAGTGTTGTATTGTCCCTCAAAGGGTGACTGGTAACTTACACAGATCATTTTATAGCTGAAAAGAGAAAGTAATTTTTTACTTAATTGTGATATTTTTGTGGAATCTTTAATCAGGTTTACCCCAGTGATTCAATTTTATCATTAATGGAAAAGGGCTAGCAATCTTATGCACACAAATGCCTTTATTTACTTATAATGGGGATCTGTTAAAACATTGTGATCATTTTAGAGAACTTACAATCAAAAAAGGCAGAAATGATTCTTGTGAATTTTAGGAACATATACAGTATGGAACATAGGAAGTCTGGTTTATTTGCTATAAGAAACACATGTAACAGAAAAAAAATGGTATGGATCTGCTTTTTTGATGTGGACTTTGTGTTTTCCAAGAAATGTAGAATACCTAGAACTCTGTCTTTCCCCCTGCAGGCTGGGGTGATCCGCACTGAGCAGGAGGAGTTCTTCATTGAGCCTATGGAAAAAGGAGCACATGTGACAGAGGAACATCAGGGTGGTAGGCCCCATGTGGTGTACCGCTCTTCTGCTGTGAAGAAGCCTCCTGCCAACTATTCCGCTGATTTCCACTCAAGAGGTAAGTCTCCCATTCTGTGCCACACACATGCCCCTTGTGGACACACACCAAAAGAAGACCAGTGAGAGTCGTATTTTACCTCATGTTGGTGGAATAATACTTTTGGAACAACATTGTAAATTGTAACCTGGGGTGTTGGTAAAACACATTTACTGTCTATCAGGGAAACGATAGCAGCACCATACTACAAGGCCAGAAATTGTTTTTCATGAACCTATTGTGCACATCCTTTTTGTTTGACTTTGAGGTCATTTTCTTTTGCTTCGTTGTTAATTTTGCTCATTCTTGTTTCATTCATTTGGCTTTTTAAAACCAAGCCCTTTATTACAGTCTTTTGTTTGCTGTTGTTGTTTTCAAAAATGAATGGGATCAAAGTGGTATACTGTACATCTTTGGCAAAAAGGACTCTTTGAAGCGCAGTTGTGTCTTGTAAATCAGATTTAGAGACAGGTGTAGTGTTACACAGTACTACTTACAGTTTTCCCATGGTGAAAATGGGAGCAATAGCAATATGGAAAATTTGTTGCTATGCGCTGTTGTTTAATTCTTTATTCCTCAACCATTTTGATTTCAGAGACTGGATGGAAAACTCTGTTGTCAACCTCTTAGACCTTTCATTTTCAACACCAGTTTTGCCTCTTTTTCTGGGATTAAAAAAATATTGCACAGTCTGTTTAGTACAGCTAGAAATCCACATAGATTGTTTGAGTGTATTTATTATTACTAGTCCAAATTTACAATGAACTTTTAAACAAAAAATGACCATTTCCAGTGAAACAGTAAGATTGCACAGTTATTAATTTAACAAATTCAATAAAAAATGAAGAGACTATGCCAAATATTCAAATATGTATCGGTATGACAGCAGAAGGAGTGTATTATTAACTTTTTATGCACCTTCAGTTTGTGGAGCCAAGCTAATGAAGCAGAAAGCTGGTTTACTTTGAGTGGTGAGTGGAATTTTGTGAAATTCTGCTCCATTCCCATAGATTGAATGTAAATTAAATGTGTTTGTGTGCTTCTTTCACTTAAAAATGTTTTAAAAGAAATCTCCCATGAATCACTAAGGAGGCTCACATGGACTTGTGCCACTCCACAAACTTGTTGTTGAGAAGCACTGTTTTAAATTATTCAAATTAAGTTGTATTTTATTGTTGTAGAGTACAGATGCAGTTTCTGTACTATAATATACTAGAACAGCTTTCACTTTCTAGGAACCATTCCAGTAACCTATTGAAGGGGGCGTTTGCCAGCGTTTTGGGAAGATCTCCTCATAAAATATGTTCCATATGCCACAGTTATTTCCTGATAATTCACTTCCCTTCCCCACCCCCTTTAAAGCTGTCATCTTAGCTATCCGAGAGCTTAGGGGAGCTGGACTTCAGCAGACATCCTCTTTTGCCCCTGAGGGGACTGCAGGTCTACATTTGTTAGCTGCTCTGTAGTATCCCTGAAATGCTTTGAAACCTTCAACAGCAATGAGAAAGCACAGCATGAATGTAAATTGTGGTTGTTTTAACAAGGCTGTAAACTGTCAGGATTCCGAGAGATGTCAGAAAGGTGCAGAGGCATTTCATTATTGGCATAATGTATTCTTTTAGGCTTCTAAATACCATTCCCATTTTGTTTTTTTCTGCTTCATAATTGTACAAAAACATTTTTTTGGTCTTTTGTTCTTATTGCTCCTTGTTTTTGCCACTGAAAAAAGTGAGCTCAGCAACTTGCTGTGAGATCAAGAGAGGTCAAGAAGGACAGTAAATTGTTTGTACCCTTGAGTTTGGATTTCCATATATAGATCAAGTGCCTCTGTGTTCCAATTGGGAATATGGGGTACTTCGTTATCCAATGGTTTGTAGAAAAATGGAACTACACAGCCTTGTTGTTTAAGCCAATATTCTGGATTCTTTCAAGAATTTGCTGGGTTGGCTGCTTAAATCAATCAGCTACCAAATGAGCCTAAGTTACGAAATGGCCTCCTCTAATTTGTAACCTTTCTTATGTTCTGTCTTTAGTAAAGTAATGGCTTTGTGGTCAGTGTAGTCATTTTTTTTAAATAGTAAAAGGAAAAAAAAGAATATTATTGGATAAATCCAAGCTTTCATGGTGTTGAAAATGAATGGTTGTTGTGAAGTCAATGGGCTGTATTTTTAAAATGTGAAAAAGTGAATTAAGTGGATAATAGGTAACTTTAAAATATTTAGATAAAGTATAGACCAATGCTTAAATAATAATAATTATTAATGCATATAACTATTCAACATTGGTTTATTTCAAATTTCTTTTACATTCATTTTCATTTTTCAATTTTTTGCAAAAGGCAGACACAAGGCTTTTCGATGTTAACATACAACTGGTGAAATGTTGGACTAGAGCAATATGAAACCCCTTTTCCAGAAATATCATGTATGGGCAGCAGTCTTCATTGAAGTATTCCATGCAAAATGACAAACTGAATGAATCAGATAGAGTGATCTTAATTTGGCAATTTCTGATTATGTATTAAAGATTATTCACAAGCCTGTGTTTAAATATTAAAAAAACAAACTCCAATACAAATGATAATACAACAGCCAAACCAGATAAAGCACCAGTTTATACAGATCAAAACAGGAATTTTCAACTGAGTTCATGATGAACTCTAATTCCACTTGCCAATATTATAACAGACTGCATTAATTTGAGTGTTTGTTTAAACATGGATGATGCTAAAAATGTTATAATTGTTTTGTAAATTTTGATAACTTTCCCCTTTGCTAAATTTTTATATATATATACTGTATGTAATTTTTGTGGCCCCTTTGGAATGAGATCTTAGGACCCGTTTACCCTTTGATTTTTTCATATCTGCATAATTTGTGTACTTGAACTGCTGGTCGCAAGAGTGCTTCATCTGGACTGCATTACATATTTTATAACTGATGTAACCTTTGGCTGCACTTTCAACTGACTCCCCTTTGCTCCAAAATGTGAGTCAATGTAATGTGAGGCATTTAAGGTTTACATGAAGAACTTTTTTTCCTTGACAAATTTGGTCACTTTTGTGAATCTCATGTAATGTAGGTTATAGTACATTATTGATTTCTCATGCTGACTTTGCCGCAATGTAGCTATTCTGTGTTATTCCTCTCACACTCTTGAGATGTGAGATAGTGGTCTTGTTGATGGTTCTTGATAGAAGAACACAATTTTTTACTTTGCTAGACTGAAAAGGGTTGAGACTGGGTTGCTGAATTTAAACAGCAGTATAGGGTGAGCAAAAGGTAATTGTGCCAAATCTCAGAAACAAAAACAGATAAAAAGGTTTAGTTAACTTACTGTATTGTTTGTAGAGAACACATTTGAACCTGCCAGGAAACAGTTACATTCTTGCATCAGCTAGAGTAATAGTATTTTTTAGGAAAACAGGCTACTATCAAAACCATATGCTTTTGCATTTTGGAATTTCTCTGGAATTATTTTTGCCTTTTCTAAGGTTTTCTTGCCTTGCAATCCTATGTGGTCTATAGCTGGTTTGTCAAGACATTCCAATTGTAAGTGCATTCCAATTTTAATGACTTTTTTCAATAGATTTTTTAAATATGTTTTTGTAGTATAAATTGTAACAACCACTAACCAGCCCAGACCAGCTCCGAAGAGGTCTAATCAGTCCCAGCAGGTGGGGGATAATTACAAACGCCGCCGCACGTGTTAATTCTCTTCAGACGTCTTACCGTGCGGCAGGCTGCATTATTTAAGCCGCTCTTACTCGCATATCAATGCTCGGTATTGAGTTCCCTAC